AAATGGTCGGTGATATTGCAAATAGAGTTGCATTTAATTCACTATTGGTGTTGCAATTTTCCTCTTCCTCACTGACTTGGCTTAGGCGTAAAATGTTGTATTTTATTAACCATCTGCCTTGATAGTTTTATGCCCAAGTACAGTTGATATTTATGCAAAATTCCATCTCTCGTGGGGCGCGAGAGGTTGAAAAAAAAACACAATATGCTGGTGATAATTCCGCATGTTGCTCTCTTGGCCGGGAAATCACACAATGCTGGATGGAAAGTGTAGTGAAATTTTTATGAGAAAATTGTGAATTTGGTAAATGGACGCCGGCGCGCACTTCATTGTGATTTCTTTTTGTGTGGTTTTTCGGGAAATGTAGCTTAATTGCAATTAATGTGTGTCATATGATGAGAATGAGAGAAAGAGATTTCATTTCAATTTAACATTGTGCATTCACTCTCTTTGTCACAATGTTTTGCCTCTGTTTCTGCTAAATGCAAGTTCACTAAATGCTCTCGCAGTTTTTCCTGACGAGACTTTAACACTATGCGAGAATTGGCAAGTAATTGTTGTGTGTTTTTCGCATCTCAGTGAGAACTTTCACTTTTAATGTGTTGCTTAATTGTCTAGTCTTTTAATCGTTTGTGTGGCGCGCGGATAGTTTTCTAAAGCGCATCCATTATTTTTAGAGACGACAATTTGAAATTACTTGTGGGAAATGTGATGGTTTGAGCGATGAGAGGAGGAAAGTGGAGGGTTGAGAAATGCCAATTGACTCGCGAGAACCACACAAACACACAGTTTGAGTGACAAAGTGAGGCTTGTTCCCTCTCTTTTCCTCTGATGGTTTTCTGCCAAATGAGATTGAAGATTGGGTGAGCGAAATGATGAATTATGATGTGTTTCAATTCATCGTTTGAGTTTGAGGCATCATGACACATCTTTCGTGGTCAATTCTTTTGGGGTGGGATTTTCTGCTGAGAATGAGTGATGTAGAAACTAATTGTTATGATTGATTGGTTTAACGCGCGCGTTCTCACTGTGGAATGTTTCTCTTTCGGAGAGTCTGTCTCTCTCTCTTCGTGTGGACTTTTCACATGACACAGAGGAATAATTATTATATTCAATATATGGTATCAATAAGAATTTATGGCACGTACATAATCTGTCCGATGACTGCTAAGTGACCGTCTATGGTGAAGACCTTGATTCCTCAACGCCGAGTTGTTGTCATTAACCGCAAAGTAACACTGTGTGTTGATAAGTTTTTTTTTCTGCTGCTGCTGTTGCTTCTCCTTAAAGTATATTTCAACTCTCCCCACTTCATCTTTTTCAACTCCTTACTGTATAGCCAAGACTAATACGTATATTTATCCTCTCAATTCAATCAATTTGCAATTTACCTCATGTGAAAAAGAGAGTCAATCGTGGGGAGGCACTTTATTATTGATATTCTTCCTTTTTTTTCTGCCGTCACCGCGTGTTTATTTTATTATCTCGCCGGTGTGTGCAAAATGTATTGGAATTGAAAATCAATCGTGTCTCGATCACAATACCTTGTGTGAATTTATCTTGTGAAATTCTTGGAATGTTAACATGAGAAATAGTTAAAACGAATTGAGAAGTTCTATCTTTACATTCTGATTTGTCAGGTTGTTGTTTTCTGCGTGTGGAATAGAAACAGAGGAGAGTTTTAGAGTTGATTTAGGAAAATTTTTCAAGCGTGATTATGCTGGGTTTTTTTTCTCTTATTTCTGTGAACTATAAATAGCGAAATATCGCAAAATCACCCAACATTCCTTGTGGCAAAATAACACTGTTATAATTGGTTGAAAAGTGAGTCTTATCAGCGAATGGAATTCAATAATAATAATAACTTTCTGCTGAGATTTTTCCTCATGAGTTAATCTAAATAATATGGGCGAATATTTGAATGAGAACTACGCACTATTGGATAGTTTGTTGTTGGATCTTCTTTAAGACACACTATCTTGGCTATAAAAAGCATGAGGAAAAGAGTCTCTATCTGTGCTTCTTTGCTCTGTATTTGTGTTGTGTATGCGATACTCAACTTTCAAATAAACCTCGAATAGAGATTCTTTTTTGATTAATCAGCGCAAATTGAATCCTTCGGTATCGTCTATAATTAGCAGCCGAAACACTCTCAAGAGATATTTGCCGTGTTGCGTTTGCGTTGTGTTGTGTTGTGTATGTCATATATAGGAAGACCTCACATGAGATTGTGCTGCCCTACGATTGTATTCTCTATGGTTAGTCTTAACTGTGAATGATAAACATTTACGTCAGTTGATTTATTTATATTTCTTCTTATTTATTTCCACGATGAATTTATTGTTCCAGATCCATTTTCGTTTAACAGCACCAAAAAAAAAAGAGAGGCGAGAGAGAAAGAAAGAGAAAAAGAGAGACGCGCATTCCAATTGATAAAGAAGACATTGAATTTCATGCTAATCATCTCAAATGGGGCTTTCCACTAATTAAGTGCCACCAATTGAATGCCAATGGAATTTTTGTTGAGCGCGCGTATTTTCTATTTCCATCGATTGCAAATCTATTTCAAGTATCATTTGCATATACAATTTATTATTTATAATTATTACTATTGATGGAAAGGGTGGAAGAGATGTTGAAAAACATGTTGTGAGAGTGTGTGGATTTTACTTGGCTGCTTTTTCCGTTTTATTTGAAATTCTATCACGTCGAATGCATTTAATATTTATTTATCTGTTCACCAATGGAAGATATTTTGATCTCTTGTTGCTCGTGTTCGCGGCTGAGAGTCTCTTTCTCTCTCTATCATTCGATTTCTGCTCAAACAAGTTCAAGAACCACGAATGACTTTCATCTCTTGCGTCTGGACGAAGAGATTTTTATGCATAGATTTCGCTATGCGGAGTGAGATTTCTCCAATTAATGACTACAAGAATTTTCGTGATCATTAAGAAAGCTACCTATATAATTAAGTTAATGATCAAATTTGTGATTCATCGGTGGATATTTCGAGGGCAGATCACGACGATGTTTGAAAGGAGAGTGTGAGATGATCTTTTTTGGAGAGTGTTTGCGCCGCAATAATTTAATAGACAGTCAAGAGAGAGAGAGAGAGAGAGAGAGAGAGAGAGAGAGAGAGAGAGAATTAATGAATATGAAACTCAATTTGAGATATACAAAAGAGTATTTTCCTGTTAAAAGTATTTATCATAATTTAATATATAATCTATTGACGGGTTTTCTTCTCTTTCTTTCTGATTAATTACACTGTATTTCTGTTCACTATAGTGTTCTTCGAGATTTATCATTTCCTTTTGGTTTGGAGCTCGAGAACAATGTCTAATTACCATAAGATTTTTAAATAATCAATTTCACAGTAATATCGATGGACGACAAGAAGTTTCCTATGCGGATTTACGTCACACTATAATTCTATTCTCATGTTTCCTGTCAAACTTGCGGATCAATTGGCTGAAAATCTTGTTCAATCTATAAAGTTCTGTTGCCTTTCACCACCTCAAATCAGCGGAGAAACTCTTCATGTGTTTGATATTTTTTTGATATATAGAATTTCAGGAAGGTTTGAAGAAGAGGTACAAGAAGAAAAAAAAGACGATTACTATCCGTTACAACAGCAAATACACACTTTGTGTGGCTGGTGCAAAAGTCATTGGTCTTGACTTCCGCTATGAAAATTTTCTTTCGTCACTCAAGTTGCGGCTCAGCGCAAAAGCCACAATATAATTCTACCTTCGGCAGAGTGTGTTAAAATACACACAGATGGATCTCTTTGGGGCTCTCTGGCTGGCTATTGTTGGACGTTTTTGGACTGGGTCGAGGAGAGTGAAAAAAAGACGTGAACTTGAGGGTTCTATTCTTGTCTTGGATGTGTTGTGATCAACACACCAAGGTTTTGAAGGGGAGAGAAAGAGAGATTGTTCTGCGTGTGCAATAAAGTTAACAACGAAGAATCATTAGAGAACTGAACTCATTCTTGTGTGTCTCTTTTGTGTCCCTTCTAGAATTTCCATTTCCTATGTTTTTTTTTCACTGCTTCTTAGACTCTTTGCGCAAATTGCCGAGGAATTTGAGGAGTGTAAATGCGAAATTTGAACTTGACATTCGGTTTTTTTTGTCTGTGTTTCTTTTGGGGAGTGAATTGATGATGAGAGATAGACAGAGAGTTTGGACTTGAAAGGAATGAAACGTGAAGTAATATATTCAATGATGAAAATGTGTAATTTAACACATTGTCGCTGGTCTTTTATGGGTAGGAAAAATAGAGACACTCTCAGTTGAGGATTGAAAGACTCTCGGTGACTGTTTAATATTGAATTTCAATGTTTTCAAGCGAGAGCCTTTGGGAGAAGAAAACAGAGAGACAAAAAAAACACACTAAATATTCAACAAATGGGTGATTTTTGTTCATGCTCACCAAATAGAACAAATCTCTCTTCTCAAGTGTTATTGTGTGCATTACAGAATGGATTGATGAACATTGTGAGTTGTTTTAAAAGTGTTAAAATGTCCATGTAATCTGGACGATTTGTCGACAAACAAGGAAGATTTCTTTTGTGTCTTTTAAATGTCAATGAAGTCACGATTTTTTTCTCCTTGGTTTATTTCTTCTCAGGCGAGAGTTGTGAAGCATATGGGAAAAATTTTCTGGACAGAGAAAGATCGTGGTATTTATGTCAGTGCGTGTAGAAGAAGTGAAAAAAGAGGGAAATTCCAGAAGAATTTGAGAAACATTAAAATTGTATTATATTATTGCACAATTGCTGGGAAGGAATCATGCATCACTGATTGACGTTGGACTACTTTTTTGCAAACAATTCTCCCAGACTTTAAGTGACTCTCTTTGGGTTGTGTTGTTTTTTTCGTACAAAAGTTGTGATCTAGAAAACGTAAATATAATTGTCATGTGTGTGTTATATTGTTTATGCTAAAGGGGTAATTTGACAAAACATTTATTTTTTCTCTTTTTTCTGGCCAATTAGGTTGACGACAGAAACAGTGACGAGAGATGGGGAAAGCACAGAGTAAGCGATCTATGGACATTACGACAGAGCAGTCAAAAGATGCCATCCAGGAAGGAAGTGGAAAAGTGGGCAAAATCGAAGAGGTCGATCAGCCACTTAAACTGAATGGAGACACAAATCACGAGACTGTGGTGAGTGTGAAGCTCTTTTATCTCTACAATAATCTATTAGAATGCTGATAATTAAAGGGTTAATTTTCTAAATATCAATCTATTAAAGTGAGCAAGAGAGGGAGAGAGAGAGAGAGAACGAAAAGAACACAAAGAAGACCTTTTCGGAGAAATTTGATACTGATCTCAAGGAATTTAAGAAGACTTGAGCAGAAAATTTTCCATGTTTATCGTCTTAAGTCTGTGCTTTTTTCTTACACTGTGTGTGAAATGATTGGCAAAAGAGTGTGGAAAAGATCAGGCAAAGATAATTGTCTCGATAGAGTATAGTTGTCCACATTTGAAGAGGGCGAAAAAAAAAAACGAACGCGCAGCACAAAAAGATCTAAATTAGTACAATCGTGTGATCACACAGCTCTTATTTTTTGCCCACTAAATCTTGTGAATCATTGGCTTCTTCTCGCGCTCTGGGAGTCAAAGTCTTTGTTGGGCCCAGAATTTAAACACATCGAATGGCTTCCTTCTTGCTCACTTCATGTCCATTTAACACAGACTCCCTCTTGTCACTTGCAAAGCCACCACAATGTTGTACGTATTATAATTTATTACATGCGTTGATTCCCTTTTTTTCTCTTGTGGGTCTCTTTTGCTCGCCTTCTGCGCGCGCTCCTCCTGGAAAGTTGATGGGAAGTTACACATAAGATGCGAGAAAAGAGAAAAATAAATTTGTACAATAAAAGAAATCATGGTGTGGCAAGAAGAGAGATCAAGAAGAAGGGGAGAGGATAAAAAGATGGATAAAAAGAAGAAGGTTTTTAAAAAACCGTTTCTTATTTCTCATTTTTGACTGTGTGTCCACCAAGAGAGTGTTTTTATCTTCTTCTAAAAGTGTAGCCAAAAACTTGATCACACATGCTCCTCTCTTGGCTTTGTTTAGTGGTTTGGGAGAGGCTCTTTTTGGTGGAAAAAGAAGAAGTGTCTAAAATTTCATCACACACCATATTTCTTGCGCTCTTGTGGTCACTTCTTTCGAGGTCGTAGCCTTGAACTTTGCTCATCATCTCTTTGGGGAGTTTGAAGATAAAATGATGTTGGCTTATCTCACAATTTTGCATCAATGCGTGACTCAAAAGCTACTGTTGTTTGTGGCTTCTCTATCATCTTTCGTGCGTCTTCCTACCAATCAAAATTGGCTGAGAGATCACACACATGTAGAAAAAAAACATGATTCGGCACGAAATGTTGCGAAGAAGAGGGTAATTTCTGGACACTTCTTGAGAGATTTCTATCAGGGAATTTTTTCCAGGTGCAAAAGACAACATTTTTATCCCTCCTTGTTATGGAGATAAAATAGTTCAACTTTCTTAACTACAAATTCAACACCTTTACAACAACAACAAGAAAAATTCTGGAGCATTTTCGGTAGGGAATTTAAACATCTTTTCTGACGTTGGAGTTTTGTTTATATTCCGTCATATTTTTTGTGGCTCTTGCTTTCGTGGAATTTAAAATATTCCCAACACTTGATTATATGGGTTGAAACGGATTTTTCTTGTCGGATTTTACCTCAAATTCGACCTGATATTGCGTGTTTGTCGTCTATTGAGTAGAGAAAAAAAAAGAAGAGGAAAAAATGTGTGTTGGATTGCATGGTAGAAAAATGATATTCCCAGTAAAAACAGTCCTATAGGAATCGTGCGGGATTCGTGCCGGATCTTCCTCTATCTCCGCTGTTTTCCGCAGCGGAACCTTCCACCAAAAATCCGCTGTTTGTCGGCACGGATAGCGGAAATTTTGATAGAAATTTTGGCGGAATAATACGCAGAATTCCGCAATATTTTCACCGGATGATTCCGCTATTTATTATTATTCCCGGAGGTTTTGGGTCTCGGGATTTCTCGGCGGAATTATAGAGGAAAACCGCGTTTCAATTCCGCAGGGACAATGGCGGAATTTTACCGGATTTACTTGCCGGAATCACGCAAGATGATCCGTTGAAATTCCAGCAATGGCCAAAAGGACCTTAAATGCCGGATTTGTGCCGGATTTTCTTGCAGGAATCTTGCGAGAACTTCCACCAAAATTCCTGCATGGACAAAAGGACCATAAATGGCGGATTTGTACCGGATTTTCCTGCAGGAATCCTGCAAGAAATTCCGCCGAAATTCCTGCATGGACGAAAAGGACCATAAATGGCGGATTTGTACCGGATTTTCCTGCAGGAATCCTGCAAGAAATTCCGCCGAAATTCCTGCATGGACGAAAAGGACCATAAATGGCGGATTTGTACCGGATTTTCCTGCAGGAATCCTGCAAGAAATTCCGCCGAAATTCCTGCATGGACGAAAAGGACCATAAATGGCGGATTTGTACCGGATTTTCCTGCAGGAATCCTGCAAGAAATTCCGCCGAAATTCCTGCATGGACGAAAAGGACCATAAATGGCGGATTTGTACCGGATTTTCCTGCAGGAATCCTGCAAGAAATTCCGCCGCAATTCCGCTAAAATATATGCCTATACTTTGAATATGGCGTGCTTCGGACCAATTTTTCGAGGTGGCGCTGTGATTCACAAAGTGATCGGGTGATGTCATTTGGGGGAACTTCACAACAAATATAAATATGGGACTTGGAATTTCACCAAGACATTAATTCATGCACGCAAATAAGTCCTTTTTCACGCTTATTATAGTATAGAGCTGGGTGCAAGGATGCTTCCACGGTACAGGATGAGTAGAAAGGGGGAAAAAGTACTTTCCGCACCGGAAATATGCCAATTTTTGGAAAAATTGTTGAAAAACCCTTAAAAAAAAATTTTTTTTTTTGCCGAAATTCTCATTGCTTCTCAAGGATATCAATGTGAAATCATCGAAAAACTGCAAATATGCACACCCAAGAGCCTTATTTCCTCAATATTGAGGATAAAATGCGTGACTTTTCCCCACCCACTTTTGACAGCTGCCATCTTGAAAGACAATCTCCGAAAAATAGGCAGTTCAGTCATTGCGGAATGCTCTGCAAGATTCCACCAAGAATCCACAACTCAAATTCCCCCCACTTGAATAGTGGAAATATGGCGGAAGCGTCTTGCAAGAATCCTCCACTTTTCCGCCATTTGCGGAAAAAACGGAGGAAACGCAGCAAAAGTGTCCTGCAAAATTTCTACCACGAATCCTTAAGATCAAATCCCTCTTCCTGAGTGGCGGAGATGCCGATTGTACCTGGACGGAAGATTTGCAGGACATTTTCCTGCGATTCCGCCGTTTTCGTTTCAAATAGCGGAATAGTGGAGGAATCTTGCGGGAGAATTCCACCGCAATTCCTGCGTTTCTTTTTCAAACGCAGGAATTGCGGTGGAATTCTCCCGCAAGAATCCTCCACTTTTCCGCCATTTGCGGAAAAAACGGAGGAAACGCAGCAAAAGTGTCCTGCAAAATTTCTACCACGAATCCTTAAGATCAAATCCCTCTTCCTGAGTGGCGGAGATGCCGATTGTACCTGGACGGAAGATTTGCAGGACATTTTCCTGCGATTCCGCCGTTTTCGTTTCAAATAGCGGAATAGTGGAGGAATCTTGCGGGAGAACTCCACCGCAATTCCTGCATTTCTTTTTCAAACGCAGGAATTGCGGTGGAATTCTCCCGCAAGAATCCTCCACTTTTCCGCCATTTGCGGAAAAAACGGAGGAAACGCAGCAAA